TTCGTCGGACTGGCGACGCCGAAACTGACTGTAGCTAGTGACTGGGCCTGTTTCGCGATTCGCAAGACAGATTGCGGGCCAGGGGTACATCTGTGCGGCGCCGTCCAGCTACCACGAATTCACCGGTCCGGAGCCACTGCAGTACAATGCTGAAGATACCGACAAGGGAAACCAGTGGAAAGTCAGCAAGGTATGTACCCACAAGCCGAGTCACCATCGCGGTCGATTATGTCTGAGTGCTCCTAACCGAGACGTAGAAAATATCCGCTTATGACGAGGACGCCTCGTTGTGCGTGGACTACTTGCTCTCTCTGCCCACTTGCAATGGTCGGGTAGGCGCAACGGGTATGTGCTTGGGTGGTCATCTTGCGTACCGCTGTGCGTTGGACAGCCGCGTCAAAGCGGCTGTGTGCTACTTTGCGACGGACATCCACAGCAAGACCCTCGGCGAGGGCAAGAATGATGACAGTTTGGCTAGAGCGGGCGATATCAAGGGTGAACTTCTGATGGTGAGTTGATACCGTCTAGTTGGACGCTCTGTCGACAGCTGAATGACAATGCTTTAGATTTTTGGGAAGAACGACAACCATGTTCCGCCGGAGGGTAGAGATCTGATCCGGAAGACCCTGCATGAGAAGGGCGTCCTGTTCAGCTTCTACGAGGTCGCATGGGCTCAACGTACGTTAGATTATGACGCTCTGTTGTTAACAATCATTTCCGAGGTAGTAAGGTACTAACGGAGAGCCGCGACAGATGCATTCATTCGAGACGAGCTCAGCAAGGGACGGTATGATCCCGCCATTACCAAGGTATGCTTTGAGATGCTGCTCGAGTTGTTCGGACGGACATTGAAACTGGACTTGGGCGAACACGATGGTAAGAAACTGGAAATCGAGGATGTATGCTAGATTTCTCTCAATGCACCATAGAAACGCATCTCACATGAAGATGTTCTGGGCCTGCCGCTGTCTATTGCTGTCAGCCACAATGACACCTCTATGGGGTATGGGCCGATGTCTTCGGCGTTTCAGACCCGCCGCAATCTGTGTCGAGTTGAAGACCAGATAGTTAGAAACAAACGGCCCCCTTGCTCTCATACTTGATAGAGGTGGGACTTTCAGAGTAGATGTGTATATCGACCATTGAACAAGACAATTGCGAAAACATTCACTAAGTACAACACGGCATGCCACTGGAAATGGGAAATGGAAAGTTTCAGCCCATCCATAAGAATTGATCCCGAGTGAGTTCAGCCGTAAACTGGTATTAGTGCACACATGGAATCTAGTCTACTGAGAAGCGCAGCTTGAATCATCCAAAGTTCAACGAGTTGGAATATATGATCGATAGCAATATCCCAGGCAAGCTATGAGATGTAAAACGGTACATAGGCATAGGATTCAATAGAATGATGATCATCCGTAATGTATGTCATCAAAAAGCAAGGAGCATCCCTCTATCTACTCCGTAGATACTCCGTATTCCATACCCCATGGAAAGAGAGAGAAGGCGGGAAATCGGGTGGCTGATGAGTTGTAAGTTAACTAGGTTGTAAGACAATCGGTGTGGTCATTGAGTTACAGTACCGTATTTGGGCAGACCTCATGACTAGGTACAGATATGACGTTACTTTGGGGGAAGTTCTGGTGCTTTTTGTCTTGTATGGTTAAGGTAGTTTATGCGTACTGGAACTGCTCCGTAGACGAAAGGTTCCAGAGGGGGTTGGGAAGTTGGGAAGAACATGTCGATTGAGAGACAACTACAGACACAACTAGATCCATGGACATATACCGAGTTGGCAGACCTAGCTCTGCCTGTATTTTTAACCCTAGCCTGAAGTCTTGTGCAATTGAATTAGCAGTCAATCGTGCATGACAAGTAAAATTACCTTACGTATTGATGTATCAAATCAGGGACGAGGAGTTGCAGGCACCAAGAATAGAAAACCGGGGAAAAACAACAACAATCCATGGACAGAGATGGAAGACTTCCTGGTACCATCCAAGTACAGCTAGACCAACCATGGTCGAAGGACACTAGGTAGTGGTCTATTATTATCAAGGTGCCTGATCAAACCTCGAAGAATCAGACCAAGGTCCAGGATTGACGGAAGGAATCAAGATATGGAGTATCAAATTTCTCCCCAAACGTAGCTGGCGCTCAATTAGCCCAAGATCCCAGCCTGCTCAATTATTGCTCGGTCTTGGAGTGTTCAGTCCCTGAGTCAAATCTTCAGAGAGAAAATCAGTTAATTATGGCCCCTTTCAGCTTTCACTAGTATTGATTCAGCAAAGACTGTTTCATTTTTTGCGCACTGGACAGTCTATCTATATTGTCTGATTTATCTCCTCTATTTTGCGCTCTGTAGGCTATCGTTCCCGCTCAATTGTCCTGATGGTGTTTTCGCTCTAAGCCCCCTCGTGTCAAGTCAACCTGTACAGCCATTCTCCATATTCAGTTCCACTTCCTTTCTTCGACATATTGTCTACTCGCATACGGAGTATAATCTTGCATAATTTGCCATCGTTCACGTCCAAGTTGCATTGCCCTCGTGGATGACAACGATCTTGCAGCCTCACTTACGGACGCCTTTGAGCTGCGATTGACTCATGATCTGATCTGCCCACCACTATTTTCGTCGATTTAATCTCCTCACTTTTGGCTGTGAAAAATACGAAAATTTGAGCTTTCGTCTTGCACTTGCAGAGACTTAATTGACAACAGCGATCAGCATCATCGTCCCACGTTTACTGCCTTGTTTCAACTTTGCGACGGGAGCCATTATTGTCAACGGCCTGGTCTGGTCCATTAGCGTGGGTCCCAGGAAAAGGAAGCCAATTTAACCACCAGCAAGACCACCACCGAGCCGCGCGAATCTTGTCCTCGGTCATCCAAGTCTTTTTGCATGGTCAATCGCTTCAACGGTCGGTGAATCATGGGTTCTACACAATTTGGGAATTTCAACGTGAGTCTGCCGACGGAATTCGACACGTCTACTGGTGCGCGAAAGGAGAGTTAACCAATGGGGTCTTCGCGAACAGGACTTTTGCAGAGATTCGACCTTGCCAGTTTGCAATGTGAGTTGCTCAATTTCATTCTCTCAGGCGGTTTCCCATGTAGGAATCTTGTCACCATAGGACTGCACCTTGCTGACTGCCAATGGTTCCTCGATAGCTCTTTGTCGCCCACAATCAACCCCCTAATGAAGCCTACGGCGGCTGTGCCCTCACCGGTATTGACCTGGGCAATCATCGATATCTCAGCAACTTAGGTATGGAGCGACGGATAGAATGCCATGGAGACGAGTCGCGAATTGCGAGACTGATATCGATGCAGGGTCGATACTGCTGGCATTCATATCCATCTTAGTATCGCTCTTCCTAGTATGGCGATCGGAACGGAAACAGGCCGCGGTTGGGCGAAGGTACGCGGCTAAACGGAGACTATGAGAGGCATGGACAAGGGCTGACGGGAAATACTTGTAGGGAAATGCAATTGTTCCTACTTAGCTTCATTGTCGTCGAGATCTGCGAGATTTTCACTGTGGGCGGTTTCCCTCTTAACAGCGCGGTGCTGAAGGTATGTTTTGTCTGTGCTAATTGACGCCTTGCTTCTACTGGACACAACTGAGAGACTCGCCTAGGGGTTTTCGGCAGTTCATATCGCTGCGATCACCGCGTCTTGCTGGATCCTATTCTTGAACGCTCTTGTCGGGTTTCAGTTCCTTGACGACGGTACACCTGTTTCGCTCGGTCTCTGTCTTGCTTCTGCCCTGGTGTTCTTCATTGGTACCGGTTATATCGCCCTAGATACCGCTTTCGACTGGACCGGAGAGTTCGCGACGGACGCATCTGATCACTATCGAAATATCGCCCTCTACGTACTGTACCAGCTCTTCCCCCTCGTCCTCCTCGTGGCGTTCTTCGTTCTGGAAGCTGTCTTGGTGATCGGCGTCCTGGGCGAGTTCCGGCCAATGTGTATGTTCAATCTCTTCTCTTCCCGAACCGGGGAGACTCAACCTTGTATGAGCTTAGCAACTGACGTGATATTCAGTGTATCTGTCCGCCGCGGGTCTATTGTTCGCCATTGGCCAAATTTTCAATTACGTGATCAGCACCCATCTCTGCCAGGCGTCGCACGGGAAGATCAACGGCGCCTTGTTCGAGACATTGTTCACACTCCTGTCGGTCGTTACGGTCTGGTTCTTTTGGAGCAGTATAACAGAAGACGACTGGCCTATGCCGATGGCTGTAGGCAGCGGCTACAACTAATCTGCGACTGTCATTGTAACACGCGCTTAATTTGATCTAATCGACTGCTGACCCTGTTCAGCGATAACAATTACTCATACCGTTGCAGACGAGGAAGGATCCTTATCCTCGCACATGTTTTTCTGTCCTCGTCTGACCTTTCCTCTTTTTTATGCCTGGACTGCCATTGATACCACTTCTGTACTCAGTTTTCATGTTTCACGATTTCCTGATGTTACCTGTGACTATGATTTGTATTGCCCCTTTAATGATGTGGTCACCTTGATATGAAACGGGCATGTGATCATGTTTACATATTCATCCTCTCCTTTACTGTCAGATACCTATTTGTCATGTACCTTGCTAGCCACTAGCATATGTCTATAACCAATCTCTGCACATTGAAATATAACCTCTGCCTTCTGTCGCGGACCACCGAATCTGCCATATAAGTATTATTGCTTCTCCGCAAGTACCTGTAGTTGTCGGATCGAAGCATGAGTTCTAATATTATCAAGTATGTACGGTATATTCTGTACACGACCATAAGAACGGAATCAAACCAAGAAGCGACGACAACTTGCATCCGGATGGCAGTCGACAATTTGGGTCAGATCAAATAATGCAAGCCCAATCCATGCTCTATGAACCCTCCCGTGCATGCAAAACGATATCCGCCATTTCAGCCTCATATGGTTATACTCGAGCTTTGGATCTGGTGGGGAAAAGAATCGGAAGAAAGAAAAAGACTCAAAGCCGAACCTTGACATCTACACAGGGAAGAGTCCACTCCCGTCGTCCCAGCAAACTCCGCAACCATTCGAGTCCAACACCGGTCCACTCCTGCTGTCCCAGTTCACTTGATCCGTTGAGCGCGAGTCGCCGCTGCGCCTCCTCGACCGCCGCGCCCGCCAGCGCCTTGGTGGTCGTATTGACGGTCTCTACGACATAGCTGGCCAGAGACCCGTTCTGTGCGGCCAGGGAGGTATTGGCCGAAACGGTATAGTAGGGGTCTGAAGTTGCGTAGCGCGGCGAGAACCAGTCACCGCGGAAGTCGAAGAAGCAGCGGTCAGCCCAGTGGCAGGAGGAGATGAAGAGGATGAGGAGCAGCGCGGAGCAGTAGATGCATGGTCGGTGGAGGATGTATGTGAGGGTGACGAAGGAGATGATGAAGAGCGGGGAGGCGTTGGTTGGGATGAAGAGGAGCGGTAACCAGCTATATGTGATCGCGTGAGTGAGTTGGCTTGAAGTTTGGCATGATATTCAGATGTTGGGGCGACTTACCTCCTGAGACAGAACATGGTGGGAGTCTATAGGCTGAGAGGATTGTAGCACACTTTCTTGTGACAGTGACACAAGGATCGTGTTATATTGTTGAAGAGTGTGTTCAACTTGAAAGACTGACGTAGAGGAGGAGTAACCCTGACAGTCAAGAAAAGAAGATATGAGGGCACAAGAAGGTGGAGAGATGGAGATTCGATGCAGATAGTGGAAAGCAATCGCCCATCAGACAGCTGAGATACGAGCAAATCTCTCGTTCATTCCTGGCTAAATCTACCTCTAAAGTTCTTCAGTATTCTTTGACTGAGGATTTTCAGCGTCATTGCTGATTTCCTCCAATAAGAGACATTACCGTACCGTAACTGATTTAAATCCCACCATAAGATTCATAGGTAGCCACCTTCCCTTAGGTATTCAAATGTATGCATCAGCCTCAACTGCATCAGCCACTTATCATAAGCCACTTACCTAACCCGACTTAGTGCCACTTCGGCCTCCATCTTGTCCTTTTTGCTCTACTGAATTATCATCATTTCTCGATTTTCTCTCCCTTCCTTACCCATCTTCTTCTCTGTATCATAGTCCGTTCATTTTAGCCCCTTTCTTTGTCTTCTCTCTTTCAATTACCAAAGCTATCTGACCTTTCTGCTTCCTCTCTTCTCCCTTTCTGCTCTCGAAAGAGAGCTCTCGAGAGAAGCTTAGAGCTTGAATATCACTTGGGAGGTCACCTCTCATTGCGGTGAGCTGACAGAAATGTCCACCCCCAACGATCTCCAGGCTCTACTGGCCAGCATCAGACCGCGTCCATCTCCTTCGGGAATGCCTGCTCAGGACGGTCCCATGCCGCAGTACCCTATGCACTACCAGCAGGGCTACCGTCCCCAGCAACAGCAGACGCAGCCGCAGCCGCAACCCTACGATGGGCAGAGCTTGTCTCACCCTCAGTTGTTGCAGCATGGCTATCGTCACCCTTCGGTCTCATCTACCATTCCTAGCCCATCCCCGGTCAATACACCGCCTCATCATGGCTCGGATATTCTCAGTCCTAATACCACCACTCCTCGTGGCGAAATGTACCCGCAGCAGCAGTCTCAATCTCAGAACCCCGACCGTGCTGTCAACCTGCTGAACTTGCTCAAGTTTAATCAGGGCACTGGGGCTGCTCCGTCTCAACAACAGCCTACTGCTGTTGGAATGGAGCAGCCAAGGTCTCCTCTTGCCCAGGAAACTGGCTTCGAGGGCGTATCTAGGTCTCACACGAGGAACATCTCGGCATCTGATCTGGTTGCTTCCCTGTTCGGTCGACAGGCTCAAGCTCCAACTTCGGCTGTAACCCCGCCCATAATGCCTACGGCTTCGCAGTTCGCTCAACCTGGTCATTCCGGGGTCGGCGAGAGCTCCTTGTCGGCGGCCCCTACTGCTGAAAACACGCAGGAGATGCTGCTTCGTCTGCTCAACCGACCATCCCCGAGCCAGGACGTGTCCCACGGGCCCGGGAAGGCGGTGTCCCAACCAACAGCGTCTCTGTCTCCGGTCAAGTCCCCTGTCGCTGAGCCGATCGCACAGGCGTCAGTTGAAGTGCCCCAAGCGCGTCCCGAGGAAGTTGTGTCTGGGAAGCCGGACATAATATCTTCTCAACAGCCCAAGTCAACACTGACGCCCAAGGAAGGCATCTTCACATACACTAACCCCTTTGAGCAACTGGCAGCTGCATCGCCACGCAAGGCCTCTCCTCAGATCAAGTCTCGGAGTGCTAGCCCCGCTGTCGAGCTCACGCAGCGCCAGAAGATCAACGTAACTGCAACTGCGGATGTTGCTCCCGTGTCTCAGCCAGCAGCGTCGTCTGTCGCGCAACGCCCATCATCGCCAATTCTTGACGCAGAGCAACGCGAGGCTGTTAACCAGGTAGTTGGCAAATTGGTGGATCAGATAGTTGGCCGCGATGTTGCTGAAGTGCGTGAGAAGACGACCATGGAAGAGGAGTCGTTGCCTGTACAAACGGACAAGGAAGAAAGCACACAAGCGGTTATCTCCTCCGTCGCTAGTCATCTTCGTGATACAGCTGCTGAGGCCAAGCAGGCTGCAAATATTGAAGGAGCGGCCGCCCAAGACGCCGCAGCAGAGAGTTCTGCAGCTATTAACGAAGCAACTAATGGCGAAAGTGGCGAAGCCCTTGCAGACAGTTGGGAGAGCGCCGAGGACAGTGCTGCGAAGGAAGAAGAGCGCGTTGTTCCCGTGTACAACTTTCCTTTGAAGCCGTTTATTTCCATCTCCCTTAAGGGCAACGCCCAGGAACTCCCGACCATTCGGGATGATGGCATCATGGACATCGCCCGGCTGAAGAAGGAATTTGATCAACTGGATCGCTCCTTGACTTCGGCTACATCGGAGTACATCGTTTACGCTCTAGCGAAGAATGGAGGCATGAGGATCATTCGCCAGGAGGATGGAAGTGACAAGCAAGTCTTCCGTGCAACCCGCGACCGTGTGTTCAATGTGACTCTCTGCACCTCAGCCACAACGAGTGGCTTATCCGAGGAGCAAGCCATCTTGGGCATTGGTGTCAGCGGCACCGTGTACTGGGCGTTGATCTCTCGCGGAGAAAAGGATCTGTTCGAGCTGGATGCCTTAGAGAGCGAGAGCCTGATATTCCCGCCGTTTCCGGCTTCTGATGAGAACACTTCTGGTGGCCAGCTGAAAACGCGGGCCAAGAGAAGCTCTCATCATCCCGGCTTCTTCGCCATCGGGCGTGGCAAGAATATCTACCTCGTCTGTCCTCAGGCGGCTGCCAATGCGAACTACGGGGTCTCGGGGTCTCAGCGCACTGTCAACACGGAGAAGTTTTTCAAGGAACGGGCCCTCAAGATCTCGACTGGCAAGGCTGGCAAGGACTTTGTGTTCAGTGACGACGATACTGTCATTGCTTCCCTAGACAAGACCGGCAGGCTACGCTTCTGGGATATTCGGGAGGTGGCCAACAATCCCGATTTCTTCACGAACGTGCCTAGTCCAGCTGAGGTTCGCGTCCCGTTGAACACCTTTGTTACCGGATCTCCCACCGAGAAGTCTTGGCCCACCTCTGTTCTCTTCATCGATAAGCTGCGTCCTTATGTCAAATCGATGGCCCTTCGTTACGTTCTGGTCGGACTTAAGCAAAACCACACCTTGCAGCTCTGGGATATTGGGCTTGGCAAGGCCGTGCAGGAGCTCAAGTTCCCCCACGAGAACGAATCAGATGCCATCTGCAGTGTCGCTTACCACGCAGCTTCTGGCATCATTGTGGTCGGACATCCTACGCGCAATTCCATTTACTTTGTTCACCTGTCCGCGCCTAGATATAATCTGCAACCCATGTCGCAGGCGTCTTTCATCAAGCGCTCGGGTGAGAAGGACTCGAGCTTACCCAAGCCAGAATCTACCGCATGCATGAGTGGCATTCGGGAGATTTCGTTTGCCTCCAAAGGCCAGTTGCGCAGCTTGGATCTTCTTCCTGCCACTAAGGCGCCTGGAGATAGCAAAGAAGACAATGCGCTCTTCGAGCTTTACGTGATGCACTCGCGTGGAGTGACTTGCTTGACCATCAAGAAAGAAGACCTGGGATGGGGCGTTGACAATAAGATTATCCGCCCTGTGAATGCGCTGGAGGGCGGTCTTATCGAAATTTCTGAGCTTCAGACCTTCCCCAGCTACGTCGCCGATGAACCTTCAATCAATGGTGATTCGGCTTCCGCTTCCACCAGAGCTACACCGAGGGAACTGGCCAGAAAGACCCCTGAGGCGGCCACTGAAGCTGCTGGTGCACCTGCTCCTTCAAGCACTGCCCCCCCTACCAAGCCGGCTCTGAAGAAGAAGTCTGCCGAGGAGCAGGCCGAGCCAGCCGCAGCGGTCAATGGCGTCGAGAAGCCTGAGAAAAAGAAGAAAAAGAAGGCTGCTGCTGCTACCGCCGTTACCGGGGAGAGCCCAGCGAAAGCCAAGGAAGCAACATTCACTGCGGTTGAGGGGCTGTCCAGTGAGTCCGGCATTGTGCCTCAACCAATTGAACAGCCCACCCAACTGGCACCTCCCACGACACAGCCATCAAGCATGGACGCCCCTCTCCCTGCCATCACTGCTGCCGCGCCCCTCTCCTCTGGAGCTGGTGCCAGTAAAGCTGGCGAGATCTGGGCCAAGCACTTGGAGGCACTCCAAACTGGTGTCACTACTGAATTTAATAAGAGTCTTGGTCGCGAGCTTGAAGGCCTGTACTCCCGCTTCGACGAAGAGCGACGCAACTGGGACGCTGCATCTGCAGCCAAACAGGACCAAGTTTTGCGGTTGGTCTCCAGCACTCTGTCTGACAATGTGGAGAAGAATCTGGCTCGTATCGTTTCTAGCAGCATTCAGTCTGAGGTTGTGCCTGCCCTGACTGAGCTTACCTCGGCCGCTGTTGGAAAACAGCTAGATCAGGTCATTTCTCAGCACCTGGGCAGTGTTGTGCCTCGTGAGGTGCGTCAGGCTCTCCCTGATGCAGTTGCTCGTTCAGTCAAGCAACCTGAAGTGATGAAAGTCATTTCGGATACCGTTGGTGAGAAGATCGCTTCCCACCTTGAGAGTGAGATGTCGAGGGCTTTGCACAACTCCATCATGCCCGCCTTCAAGACCCTTGCTCTGCAGGCTGCAGAACAGATCGGATCCGACATGCAGAAGCAGTTGCAGGTTCAGATGAAGCAGTACGAAATTCAGCGCCACAACGATGCCGCGAAGATCGATCAGCTCACAAGTCTTGTTCGTGGTCTGTCTGACACAGTCGCGTCGATGGCTGCGGCCCAGACTAACTTTCAAAACGAAATCCTGAGACTCAACCGCGTGTTGAGTGCCAAACAGCAGGATGAGGAAAGCCGCAGCTCGCAGCAGGCATCATCTGCCGGTCGGGCTGCTGCTCCCAGCGAGGCCAGAACCGCTGAGGATCTTGAACTGGCAGAGATTGCCCAGCTGATGAGTGAGGGTCGATACGAGGAGGGCTCAGTCAAGGTATGAACTCTTAAATCAAGATCAAAAGCGGCTACTGACTCTAAGGGTGCTGTAGTGGCTTCAATCTAGTCAGCAGGCCGATCTGTTCGACAACCTCTTTGTCCGCCTCAACCCATCGTACCTCACTAGGCTTTCCCCCATCGTGGCGCTTTCGGTCGGTGTTGCAGTCACGTCCTCTCTCCACACAAACGTTGACGACCGTCTCACATGGTTGGATGTCGTCCTCCAATCTGTTGACCTGAGGGTATGTTCTGACGGAATTTTTCCACTTTGATAGCCATGACTGACTGGATGTTACAATCAGGACCCGGACATTCACGAGGTTGCACCTAGGATCATCGAAATCCTCACACAGCGGCTGAATACATTGTACATGGAAGTCGCATCGAACAACCCTCATTCTCCCGTCATTCGCAAACTCGGTCCCATCAATCGGCGCTTGCATGAGCTTTGTAGGTAACGGATCTATTTGCCGCATTGGATTCATCTACAAGGGAGACACCTTTGATAATGAATGGAGAGGGGAGTAGGTAACTGTTCTGCTGAGTGATGTCGTTCGCGTCTAGGCTCTGAAAACATGGCTTAGGACGATTGAAGGACATCTGCAGATGAGGGTAATGCCCAAACGAGAAGGATTGCGTGGACATTTGGGGGAGGCTTGGACGTGGTGGACGAGGCTCTTTGGGCATTTCTTTTGTTTGTTAATGATTCAAGGGAGTGATGATACGTGCTAGCACGAAGCGACGGCTTCTTTAGTCTAATGACTGATGCATAATATCATGACCATATGGAGAAGTGATACTGGACCTCACACGTGTTATCCTGGACTTTCCAGCTAGGTTTACCAAGCATTGCGACAGGAGCTACTTGGATGTATCAGAATCTAAGATCTTGCCTTAGAACTGAAGATATAGCGGAGACAAATTCTAGGAGTGATTCCATTAGGACTCTAGTCATCTTGGCTTCTACATCGGGTAGGTAGGAAGAGCTATGTCTATACAAAAAGATAAGTATTAGCTATAATGTGTTCCTGCTGTTGTGCAGAGAAGATATATGGAAGTGGGGAGGTAGTCGGGATGATGCATTCTTTTAATTCATCACTCTTCAAGCGTCAAGGAAGACAATACTGCCATAAAGCACCATGCTTATCCACATTCATACTCCATTGTACATCTAGCATCACAGTTGGTATCATGCATGAAAAGGCACGTTAGTCTGACTCTCTGTACATTGAGCAAGATCATCATGCTCGACAAACTCGAAGCCCAACGCCCGCCAGTTCAGCTCCTTGCGCCAGTGCAGACCGTAGTATTTTCTTTTTGTTGCCGGATCAAACGACTCTCCCATTGACGCCTTCGATCCAGAGTCTTCAGGCTCGGCTTCAGGGCCAGGGCTACACGTTGGCGAGACTATAGGCTCCGAGGCGAGTCCTCCCGTAACCATCCGCCCTTTTCGAGGAAAGATCACCGCTCGGAAGCGCGAGAGAAGCATGCCCATGGAGCAACATAAGCACGGCTCGTGGGTGAGGTATACATCAAGGTCCGTGCAGAGGTAGCCACCCTGCGCACGAGAGCGGATACGCGGAGCAGCAACTGGAGGAGTGTTCGCTGTCGTGGGAACAACAGGCAAGGCGGAGTTTGTCTTTAGAAGCTTCTCCGGCACTGGTGACGGTTCTTGCGAACCTAACCGGGACACCGAGGTCGATACATCTGACTGGGAGAGAAAGTACGACTCCAGAGTGCCAAGGTACGGTTTCGTATCTGAAGCCGCGCGGTCTTCTTCACGGCGTTTCTGAGAAATCATATCCACGGCGCGCATCAGGGCGTGCAGTTCAGGCCCACCTTCCAGATCAGAGTTGTATGTCTGCGCTGCTGCAGGTGGACCCGGTCCAAGATTAAGCTCTGACGCCGAGAGCGCACCGGCTTCCCGACGGGAATATCGTGCGTCTCCTGCGACGGCAACGACTGCCTCCGTCCATCTTGTGCCGTCCTCGTCGTCAGTAGTGTCGATGGAGGCGAGAATTTCGGGATCGACGACTACCGCTCCAATTCTGCGGCCTCGGCCGGATTTTGCTGCTTCCTCTGCGACTTTCTCGGCCAGCGCCAAATAATGTCCGGCTTCGGGCTGGATGGACTCGAGTGCACGGTTCAGAATTTGCGGCGGCGGCGCTATTGTGGCTCGCGGGGCGGCGGGGTTATAGACAACGGGCCAGTATGTCGCTGTCCAATTCTCGGCTTGTTTAGCGTTCAAGGGCGGTTGAGTAGGGATCCTGATTGAATGCAGGGCAATCGCAGGCGCGGGTTCAGACTGGTTTTCGGAAGAGTTCGAGGAGGCGGGGGCAAATGGAGCAAGAACTTTTTGGAGAGCATCAACTTCCGGGAGAGGAGGCGAGACTAGGACAAATATTGTCTGTGGTGAGGATTCATTGTGCTGGACAGCTGAGCGCACGGATTCTGGCAATTGGGAATGTTTGGCGAATCGTCGGAGATGGTTCACAGGGACAGTAGGGTCGCGAGGGAAAGCAGCATCAAGTGCCCTTTACGATGATCGTTAGCCACGATCTGTTTGCATCATTCGTAGAAAGAATGTCTTACTTGACCACTTTCGATGCCAACTTCACGTTGACTTCAGCTACATATGCATCCTCTAAAGTCCGTCAGACATTGATTATTCTTGTGAAAGACCATAGCTTCGTGGCTGTTCAGAGGCACATACCAAACTCTTCAGTCGTCTGTGTTTCCTGGACGGTCTTGATCGGCAATACCTGTCCCTGACGAGGCTCGATACTCCTCAGGATGTCTTGTACCTCCATTGACGTCCGTCTCCGCTGCGGGGATGAACACAGCGAGACGAGCGCTCCTATCCCGTAATATGACGCTCTCGATCGCCGCGGCTCACGCGCAATTAAGAGAACAATCCCAGTGCGATCTTGAAGTATCTACCTCTCGTACAGCACCCGCCGATCCATCATGACTTCATGGGTTGGACCATTGTCGGTTGAGTTGCGGCTTTCCATGGATACGCATTTGTCCAGACCGTAACCCTAACCCCTAAGCCCTACGCCCTAAGCCCCGCTGTAACCTAACTGGAGTGGATGCCTCAGGCAATAAAAAAATTCCTCAGAGACACTGAATCTGTTACCTAAGTTTTTTTTTTGCAACTGACGCATAGGACGAGTCTATGACATAATGCTACCATACCAGAAAAACGAATGTAAGACAATATACGTAGGAGGCTTAAATCAGATCGAAATGATAAGGGAGTATTGATATTCCACACGCTAGTAACAATCGAACGCCCGAAAAATAGCATGAAGCTGTACAGAGATCATGACCAGGTAGTCCGCAAGGTCGTAGAAGCATGAGAAGAAGAAGGTGATGACAAGGCCACAGAAGAGTCCAAAGGCATTAGACAGCACCAAAATGAGAATAAGGTCCCATATCGCCCGTTAATGCATAATAAGATCAACTCCGTTCCCGCTTTAGATGTATGGTATGTAGAAATACAATACAATGTAGATATGACGGTCCCCCTTACGGAAAGGAGGATATCAGCGCTGGAATCCAGCTGACTGCTGCATCGATGCAGTGGGAGTACTCAGCCTTCACGCTTGATCTCGTACCCGTCGCACCTCTCGACGAGACTTTGATAGTAATCAACCAGCACTTCTGGCTGGGGTACGATCCGCCACTCTACGCGGAATAGAAACTCTAACTCCAGAAGAGCCAACTCCGCCATGCTGATACCTCCCACACGAGCATATGTCTTGTTAGTCCAGAAACTGTCACTGAGACCTTTACTGGCGACGGTGGCACTAGCAATAAGGAATCGGTGAATAGTCAGACTGGAGACCGTGAAGGCCGGATAGAGAGCGCAGAGCCGATCAATGTAATATACCATACTGAGCAAGATCGGCGGTGACAAGGTGGCGTGGGTTGTAAGACGCTGAAGATAGTCTTGGACTGAAATCCGAGGTGGTGATCGAGAATGGAAACGCGTCAGGCGTCCGTTATTTAGCGGTATTTTATCGTTGAAGCGAATCAGCTCCATCAGCATGCTAGAGATTAAAATGACAAGGTCCCGCGGATCAGCCTGATCGTAATTCTCCGGCAGATATTTCACGTCGGGCTTGGATGCCCGCAGTCGTTTGGACTGACTGCCTTCGAGGTCCAAGTCCCCGGAGCGTCCCGCAAGCGAGGCGTCCACGCCATGATCATTCGGGCTGTTACGCTTGTTGGACCCTGTACTGATGGGGGCGGGCATTGGAGGAGCCGAGCAAGGCGCAGTAGCGGGGGCAGGGGCAGGGGCCGACGCTGCGACTGGAGGAGCACCGACAGGCTCAGTGTCCGTCGGACGATCAGAGGAATGCGGATTAACAAGCGTAGCGACCGCAGGAATAGGAGTGGCGGACGAATACGTGCTGTTTCCGCCCCCAAGGGTGGTCAGCCCGGCGGACATGCGGCCGCGAGGGAGATCCCCTGAGGGCCCCGGAGGCGAAGCTTCAACTGTATGTCGTGTTAAGGCCGATCGAAGCTCCTCGATGGCCAGGCGGGAAGTACGCGGACTGAATTGACTACTGGACGCAGGAGGCTGACGAGCAGGCTCATAATGATGATGACGAAGATTATGAGCTGCTGTTACGGCGGCGACGGCGGCAGTCGTGGATCGATGAGAGAAGGAGGGAGAGGGGTGAGAGTGATGAGGAAGCGTCGGAGGAGACGAGGATGAAGGATGGAGGGCGGCGGACGGAGATGGTGATGAGACTAGCATGATGATTTCCGCCCAACGAGACCACCACGTGGGCGGACGATTGCACGACGTGCAACGGAGCTGGCAGACGCTGCGAAACCTTGTGCTGCTGCTGCTAGGGACGACAGCGTGCACAGACGCATCGTGATTTGCAAGTCTGAGTGGGAGGGTTTGTAAAGGGCGGAGTATACGTCCTTGGAAACCCAGATAATGATGATGATGATGGGTTAGTGTTAAAAGCGAGTTGTAGAAGTTTTATAGAAGAAAGAAAAAGGAGGGGAACACGGGACTTGGTTTCCAAGGGAAAAAAAATTGTCTCAGAAAAGAGTGAAAACAGTAAAAAAAAGTAAAAAAAGAAGGAAAAAAAATTAAGGTTAAAAAAATATCAAGTTGGTTACAAGATTACGAAGGCTATGGACATCTCCTTCATACGGATCTTGAAAGAAGAAAACAAGGAATAAAGGAGTAGCCAAGGGAAGTTGAAAATTGAGCCAAATTCCGTCCAATTGAAAGCAGCATTGGAGCGCGTGAGCGGAGAAATTGGAGGCAATCTTACAGTTATGTACCACTTGTTACAAATATCGGCATCGTGACCCGGTCAAGTACGTATTACCTCCCCCGGTTGGGGTAGAGATCCATCGTAGATAGATACTTTCATGGATTATTAAAGGTGTTGATGGCGCTGATTGTCGTCAACCTTGATCAGATTGTGAAGTTTTGACTGACAAGGATCTAATATCTAGCGGCCAGGGGACTCAGCTACCCTCCATTGGTGGGGGCTGTCTATGGTCTAAGTAGTTTAAATGTACTAAAACGGGACAGACTCACGCGAGTAGTACCTAAAGACTCCCTTAGGTACTACTCAGTCAGATAATGACAGCCCCTATTATGCTTCACTTGAAGATAGGGAATAGCCTCCTAGGTCACATGGATGGCCGCAAATACTCTCGAGCCCCCAGGGTACTCTCCGCACCCACTGGTTCAATCCATCTAATGATCACTTTATGATTTGACCATGGCTCAGGATGCTCTCCCTAGATAAAATCTTCTTACCTAGTCCATTTATACATATTGAAAAGAGCAAGAGCAAAGAATCAAGAGAAGCATTGAAAAATTACAGATGATTTGTGTGAGGTAGTAGGCAGGCCACTCTGGACATAAATTATGATGATATTTTTGACTGGCACCTGCCGTAATGTGTAATGCAATTTCAGTTCCACTTTGATCCACTAGGGCTGAATCATGTGATGTATATGATTATCTAATACATGATGGAGTGAGTGGATCAGGTGATTTAAAAGTCAGGTGATGTCACGAGCAACCATATTCCGGAAGCAGATGGCAGTTTGGGATACTGGAGTATTACAGTGCCTCTCTAGTAGGATCGTTAAAGGCAGTACGTAGGTAAGTAACTACCTAAGGTAGATAAGGTCTGGACGTACACCAAGTGTGGTACCTTGCCGTCAGGCTGTTGTAAGAGGTGTAAGAGTGCTCTAAGTAGTACTGGTACCCCATATTCCGATCAGTTGCTCCGTACCGCCAAGCTCTCCCCGACTTCAGCGACATCTGTCTGCGAATGGTCTAGAAAGATTGTCCGTTGATGAGGGTTCACTTGTCGTCGCAATTTGAGGCTCGTACATACATACTTATCTCTTTTTTCCTCTGTTTCCTTTCTTTTCTCTTTTTTGAAGTGAATACTATTTATTTCAATAGACTTCGTATTGATTCGGTTCATTTCATCATCTAGCTGTATCGTTATCAATTGCTAGCTCACTGCATCAGACCCCTCCTGGACCTCCGCTCCGTCTTCCGTCGCCTATAGTCCACATGAGCAAGATACTGATCAACCATTGATATTCGGATAGCAGCGCTCTTCGGCTTGTTGCATCGAGTCGGCCCCGTCCCATTGTCGGTTGTCGCCAAAGAAGTCAAACGGATTCGTCTGGCGGCGGCGGCGATCTAACCACTATGACGCGCACTTCTACACCACCCACCCTACTCCAACTCCAAAGCGCAGAATCGATATCATCTCAAGCCGCACTACTTCACAGCCTGAAGAACGAAACAATTGGCCATGATCAACGCAAAGAGATTTATGTCAAGCGGGGAATCATTCCGGTGCTCACCAAGGTTCTCACATCACGGAAGTTGAGCGGGAAGAGCGTTACCGCAACGGTTAAAGAATCGTCTGGCATCAAGTCGGAGGAAGACGATGCGTGTCTACAGGCGATCATCATCGTTGGTAGCTTGGCTCAAGGTAAAATTTCCATTGATTCGTCCCAACAGCGCCAGGAGTGGTCACCATTACTGAGATCCTAACAAATTAGGCGGCCCAGCGTTCCTCGCGCCCATCCTCGCCAGCAATATACTTCCAACTCTCCTGTCATTCCTGTCGTCTCCCAGCTGCCCCTCCTTCTTTCGCCTTCCCATTCTTCGGACACTCAATAGCATCGCAGATCGACTACCCTTGCAGAGTCAGCAGAAACTGAACAAGGATACTCGTTTGGCCGAACTGCTCTTTTCTAAGGAGCATGTTGGATGCTTGGCTCAGATCATCGGGCAAAATTATACATCTTCTCAGGCGCAGATTTCCATTGAACTGGCTGCATCGTTGATTGGGAAGTTGTGCACCGAGGAGGCTCATAAGACCGTCCTGGCTGACTCGGGGGTGTTGGATGCTCTTGCTGTCAAGGTCGCCTCGTTTGTAGTGGCCCAGGGATTCGTTCTGCCTGGCGCAGAGGAGCATGTCCAGGAGCCGGGCGCATTGGGATCCTTGCCCCCTCCAGCACCTTCAAGTGCTAAGCTCGCTCCAATCCTTCGTGCGGTCACAGTGATCATCGAGCACTCCAAGTGGCGAGCCGAACATTTCCTTTCGTCGCCGGGCATTGTGACTGTTTTCCCCAAGCAGTTACCCGAATTCGCTCCCTCGGACATCAAAAAGGGCCCCTGGGGTTCAACATATTTCTCCGGTTCGGCCGTCCCGCGACATGCCGGGATTAGCCCCCTTGAGAGTCTGCTGCCATCGGTTCCATTATCTCCCTCGACGACACCGGCAAATGCAGCGAATTTCCCACCTTTAGGTCACCAAGGGGCGCGCCGTCGCCCCAGCCACTCGTTCCCCACATCCTTCTCGCTTTTCGAGTCGACATCTTCCGACGACGATGAGAATTGCATTGTCCCCTGGCTCCTCTACATGGTTCGCGCGGAGAATGGCATGGTTCGGTTGATGGCAGCTCGCCTCGTCACGGTGCTTTTCCGTCTTGGTCTGGCGAAGAAACATCGCGTCTCCCTGCTCTCCTACCTGTTGATCCCGATCCTTATCCGAATGCTGGACAAAGACTATGAAATACCCGACGATGACAGTGTCGAGTATGGGGGCCTGATCCCCGCAACCGCGCGTCTTAAGGAAGAAGCCCCTGCAGTTCTCGCAGCTCTGGTGATTGACGATCAGGAATTGCAAAAACACGCCGTCGATGGTGGCGCGATTAAGCGATTATCGCAATTGCTGAAGGAGACTTACAACCCGATTCAAGAGAATACCAAGCCAATGTGGCACCCGGACGCCGACGAGTCTGCTCCAATATCCGATACGCAGCCAGTAGAATGTAGGCTCGGTCCACCCGGGTTCTCGCCGGCTCATTGTCATGTCATGCGATATCGGGAGAATGTTTTGAAGGCACTTGCAGCTCTCGTTCCTTTCAAGGATGAATATCGCAAGCTCGTGTGTGAGAATGGAGTGGTGCCATACATCATCGACTCTCTCAAGCCTTGCCCTAGCGAGCTGCCAGTGGACACATCGACTCCCAAGAACACTGCCACAGATGGCAATCCAACTCCGACTCTTTTGGCCGCTTGTGGTGCTGCGCGAATGCTCACTCGTTCTGTTAGCGTCTTGAGAACAAGTCTGATCGACGCTGGTGTTGCAGCTCCTCTCTTTGTTCTGATCCGTCATCCTGATATTGAAGTGCAAATTGCTGCGACTTCGGTAATCTGCAACCTGGCATTGGACTTTAGTCCAATGAAAGAGGTCAGTCCTTATCCCCTTAAGGCTGTCGCTAGGTTCTTTCGACTTGCAACTGACCCAAGCAGGCAATTATCTCAGCCGATATCCTCCCGGTCCTATGCGAGCACGCGCACTCGCCGAACACAAAACTTCGTATCGAGTCATTGTGGGCACTGAAACATGTCGCCTACAATTCTGCTAACGATGTTAAGATCAAGATTATTGACGGCCTTGGGCCTGGATGGATCAAGCAGATTATTACGCAGGACCCTACAAGTGCCCTTGCGAAACGGGGAATGGAAGGCGACGCGGACAGCAGTGCGGCGGCGGGTATGAGCCGAGCCAATTCGGCTGGGGAACAAGTCGACCTTTTGAATCCGGTTGAGGATCCTCAAAACCGGGGCGAAAATCTCAAAATGACCGACACTCTGCCTGCATCCAAGATGAGCCTGGAGATGTTTCTGCCGGATGCGACCAGGCGGCGAAAGCTCGTGTTGAATGGAGATTTGGACCAAACGACACAGGCTCGACAGGATGATATCGCGGTGCAGGAGCAGACTTTCGACTTGCTACGTAATCTTGTATGTGGGTCAGGAGCGTCGGAGATGATTGACCACCTCTTCAAGGAGATTGGGCAGGACCTCATCCTCGACGCGCTGGCGGACAAGCTTCGACCTCGCACCATCAATCTTCCACACCGTCGGGATTCCCCAGCCAGCCGTGCGCTCAACGTTCCCACGGAGATTCTGATCTCGGTCACGTTTGTCATCATCCATCTTGCCGCGAGCCTTCCTTGGCACCGGCAAGTCCTGGTATCGCATCCCACCCTTCTGCAACATCTTATGTGGTACTTTAACCACAGTCACCGAGACGTGCGTATCAACTGTGTCTGGGTGGTAATCAATCTGACATACGAAGACGATGCGAGCGACCGGGATGGCTGTCGCGAGCGAGCCTTCAAGCTACGGTCCCTTGGCGTAATGGAGCGGTTGACTAGCCTCCTTGATGACACTGACCTTGACGTGCGAGAACGTACGAAAACGGCGGAGAATCTGATCAGTTCTTTGACGCAAACATAGCGATTATGTATTGCTTGACTATTTCGTTGCTACTGTTTTGTTGTAGCATGGGCATTGCTAGGAAACCTGATACGGGGTCCTTGACATGGTGGGCGTTGGAACGATTGTATAAAATGCATCATCTACGAAATGTATTGTCTTCAATGCAGCTGCTTGGCCTCAGAATGTAATCAGGTTATCAATATATACCTCCAGGACCGCTAGAGAGGTGCACTGTATGTCTAATGTTCTTGCGTGGCTTATCTTATCGGTCTGTGGTGGGGATTCGATGATCCTACGACGTCATATCATCATTTGACTGTGTTCTGGATAAAACCCCTGGGAGCCATGTCTACTACCTAAAATTGTTCGCTTTACCGAGATCAAATTAGTCACGTACCCATGGCACCAGTGCCTGCATCAATTCTGCGTGCGCTCTCCCTCCCCGATGCCTCCAAGGCCAGCCTATCGACCGCAAGCCTGGGCTCCGGCTTCACCAGCACCGGGGTGATTCGAGCCACCGTCCCCACCGCGGACGGGACAGGCGATGAAGAGCGACAGTACTTCGTCAAGACCTCCACAGACGGCAAGGCCGCAGAGGAGATGTTCCGCGGTGAGTACGAGTCTCTCAACGCAATCGCAGACTCGGTGCCGGGGTTCTGCCCTCGAGCACTAGCGTGGGGACCACTGGATGCGCAAGACAGCAAGGGCAAGAGCTTCTTTCTCGCGACCGAGTTCCTCGACTTAGGCGCCGGCGCCGGCGGCCGGCGGACGGGTGAGTCTCTCGCGCAGCGGCTGGGCAAGTTACACTCCACGCCTGCGCCGGCGGATCCGGAGACGGGCAGGCGGCGGTTCGGGTTCCCCGTTGCGACGTTCTGCGGGGACACGAAGCAGCCGAATCGATGGCGGGATTCGTGGGCGGAGTTTTACGCGCAGGAGCGGCTGCTGACAGTGCTGGAGACGTCGGAGAAGCGGAATGGTAAGGATGTGGGCTTGCGGGAGATGGTGGAGCGGACGGCGCGCAGTGTGGTGCCGGCGCTGCTGAGGGATAGACATCTGGGGTATGATCGGGAGGGGAACGGGGAGGGGATCACGCCGGTGGTGGTGCATGGGGATTTGTGGAGTGGGAATGCGGACCGGGGACGGATTGTGGGCAGTGGGCGCAAGGAGGATGAGGAAGTGGGCGAGGTTGTGTATGACCCGTCGGCGTGCTATGCGCACAGCGAGTATGAGCTGGGGATCATGAAGATGTTTGGGGGTTTTGGGTCGGCGTTCTTCGAGGCCTATCATCGCATCGTGCCCAAGACCGAGCCAGTGGAGGAGTATGAGGATCGCGTGAGGTTGTACGAGCTGTAAGTGTGTCTTGCTTTGCATTGTGGGAGCTTTGGCTGACTCTGAAGGTACCATCACTTGAACCACCATGCTATTTTTGGAGCTGGATATCGATCCGGTGCTGTATCGATTATGCAGAAGCTGCTTAAGAAATACGGCGATTAGCTGAGTCTTGATCTCTATTACTTCTAGATTCTCGATCCATTAGAGTAGAAATATCTGATGGGATTCATAATTATCCATCAAAAGCATCTTAAAACAATCATTTACCCAGCTTCATTATCTGCGAGGGCTTCTACTGATACCTGGCTATTTTCAAGACTCTCCCCATTGCAACGACGAATAAGTGACCAAAGAGGAGTAAATCATGATGTGCAACAGAACCTCGTAAATGGCATCATATCTGAGTCAGCAGATCTCCATCAAGGAATCAACCAAAATATAAAGTGTAATGCCGTGCCCCTGTCCCAAACCCCCTGCCACAAGACATCTGATTGATATGGAAATACTAGGACCTAGCTAGAATTGTGAAGTCAGCTACGATGCCTTCCATTCCAGATGCAGAGCTCCACCCCGAAGCCAGTGGACCAGCAAAGGCGTTGGTCGACAAGCATCAGGCGGAGCAGCCTTTGAAGCTCTATGCGGGGTGGTTTTGTCCGTGAGTCCTTTGACCTTTTTATTCTCACTGTATAGATGCTGATCATCAACCAGTTTTGGTACGCACCAGCGTAGAATGAGCGACTCCTAAATTGCCAGCTATCTAACCTTTGCAGTACAACGTGTCTGGCTTGCTCTGGAAGAGAAGCAGATCCCTTACCAATACATTGAGGTCAATCCCTATCACAAACCGCAATCACTTTTGTCCCTGAACCCGCGCGGGTTAGTCCCCACTCTCGCTTGTCCTACGGGACAAGGTGATCGAGGTGGCGTCAGGCTCAGGCCACTCTACGAGTCGAATATCATCCTCGAATACCTCGAAGAAGCTTATCCCGACCACCAGCCGCGTCTGCTTCCTGCAGACCCCTATGAGAAAGCCCGCGCCCGGATCTGGATGGATTTTGTAACAACCCGGGTGATCCCCGCGTTCCATCGCTTCCTGCAGTACCAGCCTCAGTCAGGGGACGAGGACGTGGCAACTGAGACTGACAAGGTCCGCCAGGAGTTTCTGAACCGTCTGAAGGAGTGGACCAAGGAGATGCATCCCGAGGGGCCATTTTTCTTAGGAGAGCAGATCTCAATGCCTGATCTTGTGCTGGGCCCGTGGGCCGTGCGGCTGTGGGTGTTTGATGAGTTCAAGACAGACGGTCTTGGGATTCCTGCTGAGGGTCAGGGGGCTGCGGATGAGGCTGTCTGGCAGCGATGGAGGACATGGCTCCGTGCAGTAGAAGGCAGACGAAGTATAAGGGAGACAACTAGTGAGAAGGATCATTACCTCCCTATCTATCAGCGTTATGCAGACAATACTGCCCAGAGTGAGCTGGCAAAGGCCACAAGAGCTGGAAGGGGAGTGCCATGAGTTCCAACCACTTGTGTAGGATTTGATTTATATATGCATTTCCAACAATTGACAATGACAACACACGCTCTCATATGTTCTCAGAAAGAAATTAGAGGCAGATACCAGATTCCTTCTGATCATAATAGTTCCATCAAACTACTACTTATTGAATATGCAAACAATAGCGGAATAACATCTGCCCCGTCTCACGTGACACTCCGCCAATCATGCGCGGCCAAAGATTCAATCGCATCCATCGCGCATCATCCTAGGTACCCGTACAGTTACCTGTCTTCTCGTCTCTACCTGGCAAGACAAGAAGATACTTTTGCCAGCAGCACAGGATGGCTTCGGAGAAGAAGGATGACTCGACACAGTCGGCTGGGACTGACCCTTCTCTGCCTGAACCCCCTGCCATCCATCCGTCCTTCATCCAGGTAGCCAAGCCTTATATCTTTGAACAGACGATTCAGAAATGTATTGCGGCCATGGGGGTCAATCCTCTGCGCGAGGAAGCTCTGCGCTTGCAGGGGGTGACATGGATCGACAACGTTCGCCGAGGGCTCTATCTGTACGTCGGAAAGCTTGAATTGCACAGTGAAAATCACTCTAAGCAAGAACTATTGCTGACTCGACAGGCCTATTCGCACCTTCAACACTGCTGTCGTCTATTATCATAAATTTCGCCTCATTCACCCCGACACAGAGTACAATTATATGGTAGTCTCACCCTGCTTTAGTCTGGCAGTGTAACTAAGCTGACTTGACTGGTCAGGATGCCGCTGCAGCTGCTCTATTCACGGCATGCAAGATTGAGGACACCCTTAAGAAGTCCCGGGAGATTGTATGTGCTGCATACAACCTGAAGCTGCCTCCATCAGAGCACCTGTCTCCTGACAACCCCGTGAGTTTCCATCGTCTCTCTCTCTCGCAACCAGGGCCGACTAACCTAGTCTTCATAGGTTTTCGAAGCTCATGCTCGGGGTATCATCGGCCTCGAGAGGCTCATGCTCGAAGCCTCTGGCTTCGACTTCCGGACCCGTCATCCACAGAGGAATTTGATCAAACTAGCCAGACACTATGGCTTGTCGCCGCAATCCGAGGTCTCCAATCTTGCCTACCGCATCTCGCAGGATCTCTATCGAACCTTTGCCCCCATCAAGCAGACCACCTCCACCATGGCCTTTTGCTGTCTCGAACTCGCGGGTCGCCTGCTGGATCAGCGTCTGGAGCCCGTGGAGCAGGGGTCAGATTACGAGCAGTGGAGGACGAGCCGCGAAGAAGTAATGGGTGGGTCTCTTGCTTTCTCTTGAGGCTATCAGGCAACAACAAATTCTAACCTAAACCCAGAAACTCTCTTTGACCTGCTCGAGTTATATACACACAACCGTAGCTCGACCACCGTCGGCCCGCACTTCCCACCTGATCGATTCCTCACAGTCCGCATCCCGCTGAACAAAGAAGCAGAGGCCCAGAGATTACCTCGGTACACGCACTGGGTCGAAGACAGCAGAGATTCCAAGCCTACCAATGGCGCCAGAGATGGCAGGAATCGCCCTGCGCCAAAAGATAGAGATAGAGACAGGGGAGCCGCACCCGCGCTGCACCCGCTCACCCCTGTCGCTGCCAACGGGGAGAGACCCAAGGCCGGAGAACGCGGCCGCGACGGCGCTGTGCGCTTCATGCTTGATTCGGAGTGCGCAGAGGCCGAGAAAACGCATGTCGCCGAGTACTTCAAGATCGAGATGGAGGAGTACGAGGTGGAGGAATGAATTGCCTTTGGATATGAAATCAGAGACCACCCTACACAGGCGACATACCCGCTACTGTTGAGGCACCCTTCGCAGAGGATCGACAGTGGTTCGAGACTTCTGGCAGCTGCGCCAGTACGCAGGCCGCGATGGATCTGTTCGCCCCCCTGCTGCAAGCTCCTGATCCAAGTGGAGTACAGCACGCTTGGTGATGAGAGCTTAAGATGACGTGGCTACTAGCTGAGCTCTGAATGCACAGCGTCGTGCATTTAGTGGAGAGCTGGGCGCCGCTGTTGACCCTCAATGTCGATGACCATCCCGATACTTCTTGATGAAGTATCCGCCGAAGGAACCTCGCAACCGATGTTTCAAGAGGCGTACGTCATATCACGATACAATCGCTGCAGAATAATAGCCACCTGCTACCTCGCACATTCTGTCGCATTACATGTCAAACGACAAATCTTTTTAGGTAGATAAGTACCTAAACACTCACGTGAAAGCTATATATGATGGGACTTCACACACTGCATCGAGCGCTTGGCCAAATCCACCTCTAGGCGGACGTAAGAGGATGTAAAGCAAAAATAATAAGAATCCAGGCAGACCAACGTGACTTTGCCCGGCTGAGCCAGGCACCCGACCGCCCTTTCCTGACTTGTATACACCAACAACCCAATGCGTCGACAAGAAATTACAGTGAGAAGATAGAAAGATTAAAAAGAGGATGCATAGAAGCCGAACATGTTCATCAAGGGCCTCAGGCACGAAAAAGGAGATGGTCATTAGCGAGTCATTTTCAACGGCGTTTCAACTCGCCGTTAAGGCAATCCAGTATCTGTATGATTTGTGAGCAGGTGGACCTTTTGTATTGAAAACAATTGAACATACCGTCTCAGAAACGGTTCCCTGGTTGTAGAGGTATTTGCCCAAACCGCGAACCACTTCGAACTGCTCCTCCACTGTGAGGCCGTTGATGGCTGTCTCGATGATATCCCCCACACTAGCCTTGTATACTGCAATGAAGCTATGGTAATACATGTAGGCGAAGAAGCCCATGATGAACTGGCAGTCCATGCGGTCGGTGATACCACCGTGGCCCGGAATTGATTCACCGAAATCCTTAATCTTGAATGTGCGCTTGAGGCCCGACGCGAAGAAGCCACCAAAAGGCGCAATGAGAGAGGCGAAGGTCGCAAACACCAGGATGTGGAACTGCATAGGCTCAACATAGAAGGTCTTGGACAGCCCAGTCCATTCTGGGAGAGAATAGGGCTGAGGCACAAAGACAGGGTTGGGGTTGCATTGCAGTCCAGTCAGGACGTTAGCTCCCAAGTCGTTGACCGGGCAGATGAAGTACTTGTAGCGTATCAGGATGTTGGTCATAAAGTAACCGAAAATAATGGTGCAAATCCATGCACCAAGGAATCCCTCAACAGTCTTCTTGGGCGACAGCTGGATCAGCTGAGTGCGACCAAAAGTGATACCACACACGTAGGCGAAAATGTCGTTTGTAATGACGAGGGAGGCCGGGAGGAAGAACCAGATCATGCCCTCGAAGACATTGTTCATGACAAAGTGCGCTTGGACGACGATCAGGTACAGTGCCATATGCGTCCAGGCAAACTGGGTGAACTGAAAACGATAGTGACCTTTTTGCAGCGATGCGACGAAGAATACGAATCCTGAAAGAGAATAGTATCAGCGACTGCTCAGAACTTGTAGAGTAAGCGATTAAACTCACCCATGACGTAGAGCGTAAAGCTGATAAAACGATGGTGAGTTGCCAGAGGAAGCAACCCCTTTTCAACTAGGAGGATATGCTTGAAATAGTAGATCACGCTTTCTCCATACAAGAAGTACATGGTCGTGGCCAGGAAATACCAGTTGAGTGACTTGGTAAAGCGGATGTTCTTCTCCCTGCTGGGTACATTTGCAATGGCAATGACTTCCTTGAATGAGATGATTTGGATTGCCGTGACGATGCCGATGATGTAAATGTGGCCTGAAAACATGGCAATGAAGAAGAGGAAAATCATCACAAACGTCCATATTGTCCGAGTGATGAAAGTCTGCTTCTTCTTCTCATATTCGGACAACTGAGGCTGTTCCTGTTTCTGTACGAGTATGTCAGCTTTCTATCGCCAAACGATCAAACCAATTGTCCTGACTTAGGGCCTCACCTCTTCGGGAATCGTTGCGGGTTTGGAGACATTGCCATTCTTCGACGGGCTCCCAGGGTCGGACGCTACATCACTAGCATCTGAGATGCTCATCCGACGGTTTTCAGATCCGTTGCTTCCTCGGTGTTGAAACCGGACGTTCCGGCGTGACTTTGACATGGTCAAGCAAGGGTGTAAGGCAGCAGAGAAAAGGAAGAAACCGCTTTCTCAGGGCGACTACGCGCGGGGAGCAGGTGAGATCGCGGGGAAATCTCAGGAACTTGAGACTGGGGTCTGAAGAGACGGAATGGGGCCGGAACAAGGGTGAAGGATGGGGAATCGGGCCAAAAAAAAAAAGGATCCTTGGAGACACGGCGAGTGAGGATGGATTATTGGGAGCGATTGTCGTGTTGATTACTAGTAAATTTTCATGTGAAGTAGGGACCGAAAGCGGTCGGGTAAAAGAGACACGAGACGATGCAAGAAGAGCTCCGTGGGAATCGCAGAGCAAAAGAATTCCAGAACTAAATGGTCGCCATTCAACCTGGGGATTAACAATTTGATGGCAGGAGGATGATCAAGCAGAAGAGAATTGATTAAGAGAGAAGATAAGAGACAGGATGAGGATGAGGAACAACTTCCCGTGACTCGGCACTACGTCAGGCCTTCGTTTTTCTTCCGTTGGTTCCTGGGGGAAATCATCTCTTTTTTCTGGGTAACCAAATAAAACACAACAACACAAACATATTCGTGCTCATTTTCAAGAATACTCCAGCAAATCATTTTTGATTCATGGCGGCCTCGCGTAGTGGGTTATGGAAGACAAGGACGATGACTTCTTCTCGGATGATGGCCTCGAGGATCTGCCTCCCAGTACATTATTGCAGCTGGAACAGAACGCGTATCTAGCTACACAGGCGCAGCGACCAGCGCAACCAGAACCTCCTATTTACACTGCTTCTGCTCCTCATGCGCAAGTCAATCGACCGTCTCGAGTCGCAGAATCCCGATCAACGCCTATCAATGCTACGCTGAAACCACCTGCGCGTCTACACACCGGTCTGACGAACGATTACGATTCTCTGGATGTGGGTGAATTGGATGC